TTCAGGTGATTATACACACCTATGAATATTATATTCTATCTCTGCCACTAGGTCCTCCTAAAATGTTACACACTGGACCTTTAACACTATTTAAGACCCTTCAGACAGCCTGAAAACATTAATATTAGCTGGAGCTCAGCCTATCTAAGCATGCTGTTCAGATAAATGTGTCCACTCAAATGTGTAAGAAGTGTTTCTTAAATGGAAATCACCAAAGAAAACATCTGTTTAACAACAACTTCCAACTGTTCACCAGGGAATATCTGAGAACTGGACTAACAATAGTTTTTGTTTATTTATAAATGTGTTGCGAGGCAGCGTTGTAGTCGGTGATAAATGGATTTCACAAGACCCCAGATCCTCTGCAGTAAACAGCAGAGCATGAGAGTGTGTGAGTGTACAGTGAGAGTCCTTTTTTATAGAGCTTTCATCTTATAAGGTTCACTTTCTAGCTTCCTTCTGGAGCTTTTGACCATATCACACAACCTTTTTTCAGCCAGTGGAGCCAGATGGCGTATGATCAAAATCTAGTATGTGAACCTTGAGTTTAGAAGAGTTTTTACCACACATGTGTTCCCAGTGTGTCAGGAATGGATCTCTAGTGCAGTTTTAATACAAGAACATAATATATTTAGTATTTTGTTACACTGAACAAAGAGGGGAAAGGGAATTGTGGTTTGGTTGATTTATTAAAACTGAACTTGACACTTAATAAACAGCATGATCACCACAAGGGGCATTCCAGTGACTGTAATATTGCCAATCAATATCTGATATCCTGACTTTTGACTTCAAGGTTTTGTTGAACTGTGGATACATCCCTCCAGAGCCACATCAGGAATGAACTGCTTTCATAGGCTGAATTAACACATTTCCCCTTGTGTGAAATTAGTGCTCATTGTACAGAAATCTCAAGGATAAAAAACAAAGATTGAACACACCACAATAGGTATTTGCAAAAGAATGGGTGAACTAAAAATATAATTACAAATGGATTCTGAGAAAGAGAATAAGGAGTAATATGATCTGGCCATGTTTTATTACATAAAACAAAGAGGAAGGTGGAAGTTGACACTTGACATTCAATGAAGATTTAAGATGTTAAAGTGAGACAGTAACTCTGAGCTTCTGGCCGACCTACAACATTGTAGTTTACAGTTTGTCTTGTTGGAGAGTAAAGATAAAAGCTGGGAATTAAGTATGTGACCTGTGAGTCAGCGTTAGTAATTGATTGAGGTTTTCTTTTTGAGGTTTCTCTTCCTTTAAGAACTTGATGGTTGGTTGATAATGGACGTCTGTTAGGCTTGTAGTTTCTGGTTAAACTGTCAGAAGGAGCAAGAAATCTAGTTGTAAATAGATAAAATCATCTGTGCTGTGATAGATTCTAAACAATCAACCATCTACCCTTTTTTTTAATCTTTACATTGTCTCCTCTCTCTCTCTCTCTCCTCGCTACAGGGGGACCAGACGTGGGCGACCATGTTGGGTCAGAGTGTGCGGTTGCAGCCGGTGCCCATCCAGAGCCTGTCAGAGCTGGAACGAGCCAGGTTACAGGAAGTCGCCTTGTACCACCTGGAAGAGAGGGACCTGGATTTCAAGATCACCATCCCAAGAGGTACAGAAATTACTATTATAGGAACAGGTGATTCAGCATGTTTTGCCCAATGATTTTATTTCTACGTGAGTTCAGATAGTCTTTTTTCAAAGCATATCAAGTTTTCGCTCCTTTCATTGATTTGAATGT